ATCCATCTTCCAAACCCCCAAAATGTACATTCTGCAAAAGGATTGGACACACTGAAGAGAAATGCTTCAAGAAGCATGGTTACCCTCCTTCTTCCCAACCAAGATCTCAAACTCCTCCTCGTGGGAGACAATCCATCAATGTTGCTGACAGCAGCTCTTCCCCTGATCCACAACCTGAGTTCAAACTCACCAAATCAGACTATGAGAAGCTGATGTCCTTCATGGCAGACCACAACAAGGGCAAGTCTTCTCACTCTGCTGCTCTCACTACTCACTATACTGCTGGCTCTTCAGGTAATCCTATATGCAATCTCATTCAGAATCACCATACCAAGATTGCTTGGATCCTAGATACTGGTGCCACATACCATATTGTGAATTCTCTTCACTTCCTTACTAATCCTGAACAAGTACATCACATTTTCATTAATCTGCCTACTGGTGATAGAGTTCAAGCAACTCACAGGGGCCAAGTTATATGTCTTGATGATTTAATCCTTAAGGATGTCCTCTTTGTTCCAAAATTCACCTTCAATCTCCTATCAGTGAGCAAACTCACCACCACCAGTCCCCTCAGCTTAACTTTTTCTTCTGATTCTTGCTCAATACAGGACATGAAGCTGCAGAGAGTGACTGGTTCTGCTAAGCTCCTCCATGGCCTTTACCACATCAGCCTTCCCTTAGCTAGTACACCTAAACACATCACAACTGCTGTTAGCTCCCCATCTTTTGATATTTGGCATTTCAGACTTGGCCATGTTTCCCATAGTCGAATACCATACCTGAAACAGATTCACCAACATATAGAAACTAGCAGTAGCTTACCTTGTGATGTTTGTCATTTTGCCAAACAAAAACGGCTTCCTTTTCCTTCAAGCACAACTGTAACTACACATTGTTTTCAGTTGATACATGTTGATATATGGGGTCCCAATTCCTGTCCAACTTATGATGGTTTCAAATATTTCCTCACCATTGTTGATGATCATTCCAGGATGACATGGCTCATTCTTCTTCAGTCAAAAGCTGATGCTAGACCTAAGTTACAACACTTCTGTAACATGATTGCAACCCAATTTTCTACATCAGTTCAAACCATTAGAAGTGGCCAAGGCAAAGAATTCCAAATGACTGAGTTCTTTGACAGAACAGGTATTTTACATGAAATGTCATGCATTGAAACACCACAACAAAACAGTAAAGTTGAACGCAAACATCAACATATCTTAGCCATTGCTAGGGCCCTCAAATTTCAAGCACATCTCCCTATTTCTTTCTGGGGAGATTGTGTGAAACATGCTGTTTTCCTCATCAACCGAGTCCCTACACCAGTCCTGGACAACATCACTCCCTACCACAAACTCCACAACAAACCTCCTGACCTCCAAGACCTCAAGGTCTTTGGCTGCCTTTGCTTTGCTTCAACCATCACTAGTCACAGAACCAAATTTCAGGAAAGGGCCAGAAAAGGTGTGTTCTTGGGTTACACACCAGGTATCAAGGGATACAGAATCTATGACCTTCACACTCATGACATATTTACATCAAGGGATGTTCATTTTTATGAAACTGAATTCCCATTCCAACCAACCATCCCCACTTCCCTATCCTCAGAACCCAATAACCCTCCTCACCTCTATCCCCTACCCTCCTCACTTGACAATGAAGACCCACCACTACCAGTATCCTCCCCACCCACCCAACCTCTTCAGGCAGCCTCTCCTCCACCACCTATCCAACCCTCTGATCCCTCACCATCACCATCCCTGAACATTCCAATTGCCCTAAGAAAGCCATCCAGAACTACCAAACCCCCTTCCAAACTTCAAAATTACCATTGCAACCTACTTCAGCAGGTTTCTTCCACCAGTCATTCTCTCCAGCAACATGTTCCAGGTATCACCTATCCCCTCTCTGATGTACTTGATTATTCTGGCTTATCTCCTTCTTATTTGAAGTTTATCCTAAACATCTCCTGTCACAAAGAACCTGAATCCTATGAAGAGGCTGCCACCAGACCAGAATGGAATAGAGCCATCAATCATGAAATTGATGCTCTTGAGCAAAATCAGACATGAGATGTTGTTTCTCTACCACCTAACAGAAAAAACCTGGCAACAAGTGGATATTCAAATACAAATTCTTCTCTGATGGAACTTTGGAAAGGGAGAAAGCAAGACTTGTTGCCAAGGGATACACCCAACAGGAAGGGATAGACTATCAAGATACATTTGCTCCTGTGGTCAAAATGACCACAGTCAGATTATTTCTAGCTATTGCAGCCTCAAAGTCTTGGCATGTTCACCAACTAGATGTGAACAATGCCTTTCTACATGGAGATCTCACTGAGGAGGTATACATGAAGCTTCCAAAAGGCTACAAGCCTCCACCTCACATCAAAAATCCAGTATGCATACTCAAGAAGTCATTATATGGTTTAAAGCAGGCATCAAGACAATGATTCTCAAAATTAGCAGATTGTCTCATCAGTCATGGTTACATTTCAAGTCAAGTGGATCATTCTTTATTCTACAAGTCCACAGGTTCACATTATACATGCATTCTGGTCTATGTTGATGATTTGGTAATTGGTGGAACCAAGGTTGTCAACCCGCGGGTTGACCCGGACCCGATCGAGCTAGTGGGTCAAGGGTTAATGGGTCAACCGTTTTAGCCCGGTTTGGCCCGGAAATATTAAGAAAGTCATTATATTGTACTTATCCTCATAAATTATATCAAATCTTATCTAACATATGAGTTATAACATATAATATTACACCAAAATAACATATCGTACTTAGATCCAACATATAATGAAAATTCACACACACTTATATAACATAAATATTCAAATGTTCAACTTAGAATTCCAAAGATTGAGTTGGGCGAAAAGAAAAATCGGAAAATAGGCACATTTCGCAAATCAAAGGAAAAGTGACACAATTTGACCTCCAACCCGGTACCTTATAGCGGTCGGCCCGGCGGGTGCGTGTGGCCCATTTTTCTCATCGGGTCAGGGTCAAACTGGGTCGACCCGGGGGTCAACCCGCGGGTTGACAACCTTGGGTGGAACTGATCTAACAGAGATCACAAACATCAAGCAATCTCTACACAGCACATTCAGCATCAAGGACATGGGCCCCCTCAAATTTTTTCTTGGCATTGAAGTTGCAAGAAATTCCACTGGCATTCATCTTTCACAGAGAAAATACACTTTGGAAATACTTGAAGAAGGGGAAGTTCTACTGTCTAGGCCTGTTTCTACCCCAATGGATCATAAACTACATCTCACAGCTCACCATTCTGATCCCTATCCAGATCCATCCTTCTACAGAAGAATTGTTGGCAAACTAATCTATCTGACAACAACAAGACCAGATATCAGTTTTGCCACTCAACAGGTCAGTCAATACATGGCCAATCCAAGTAATCAACACTACCAGGCAGTCACCAGAATACTCAGATATCTCAAATCAGCACCATCCACAGGTCTATTCTTCCCATCATCATCTAATCTCCAACTCCATTCGTTCTGTGACTCAGATTGGGCATCTTGTATGGACACTAGGAGATCTGTTACAGGTTATTGCATATACCTGGGCTCTGCCTTGGTTTCCTGGCGCAGCAAAAAGCATAAAACCATCTCTCGTTCCTCTTGTGAAGCTGAGTACCGAGCCATGACAGATGCCACCTGCGAGCTTCAATGGCTACTTTATCTTCTCAAGGATTTCCAAGTTCAGCATTCCAAGCCTGCAACCCTGTTCTGTGACAACCAATCAGCCATCCACATTGCTGAAAATCCAACCTTCCATGAGAGAACTAAACATATAGAACTGGATTGTCACCTGGTACGCGAGAAATTGCAAGCTGGAACAATTAAACTGCTTCATGTGTCCTCGCTTCATCAACTGGCGGATCTCTTCACTAAAGCTCTGTCGCCGGCGACCTTCTCCAGCCTCCTCTCCAAGCTCGGTGTGCACAATTTGTGCCCACCAGCTTGCGGGGGGGTATCAGATGAAAATCCCCAAATTTTCAGTTCAAATGCAACGGTCAACTCGCGGGTCACTTGGAGCGACATCGTTTCTGGCAAGGCTACAAGCAGATCAAGTGGAACGGCGCCGTCTCGAGACAAAGGGAAGAGCCCCATCAATACGTCGCCGTTATGAACCAACGTCGCTTTCCTTCTTCTGCCTTTTGTTCCCTCTTCACTCTGTTTCTGAACTTTGCTTTTCTGTAAGGACAACAGCTCACTGGAGCTTGTCTTCTTTTGCTCAATCCTTGTCTAAAAGCCACAATTATGATCAATGAAAACTAAGTTAGGGTTTCCACAACTACAATTCGTGTTAGGAGACGTTGGCATCCATGAACGTGATCAAGACGGTTGGGCCTATCCACCACATTCAGGGCATTCTCATTCCTATCGAGGCGGCTCAGATGCCACCACCTCATTTCACCCCGACCCAAGCCGGACCCTCTTCACCATCCTCTGGAGCTGGTCTTTCCTCTTTCACTAATGCTCGACTCGCTGCCTTGGATGGCCATTACTCCCGATTGGAGGCTCGGTTTGACAGAGAGAGAGAGGCATGGCACCATTCTCACGTCATGCTGCACCGGCTGTTGTTCCATCACAGGCTGAGGCTCTACATCCACTACAAGGTTCCGTACTCTTCCACGCACTTCTACGATTGTAGAATGCTCTGCATCCTTCTTGACATTGAAACATCAACCTCAATTTGGACAATCTCCATGGTTAAACTCATAAACAGACCACTTAATATACATATTATATACCATAGTATCTAATTCTACTTAAAACCAAAAGACCACAGCTACAAATACATAACTAACCTGTTGGGTATGCAAATAGCAAACAGAAACCGGATCGGATCCGGCAATTGGGCAAGACCCGAAGCCCAATTGTCAGGCAGAAGAATCCGGTAGTTGCTGCTTACCGTCCTGCCAATTTTGCCACAACAACCATTCCAAATTTCCAATACTAAAACCAATAATATAAATAGCAGGCAAGAGGGGAAAATGGTGAGCAGCCACGACAAAACACCAACTCGGGAGGGAGAACAGGAAAACTCACAAAGAAAAGAATGAGTGGGGTTACAGCTTCCCCGCAAATTCTGAACGCCTTTCTGCCTCACTCCACCAATTCCCTGCCCAAACCAACCTTCAAGTCCGCCGCAATCACATTTACCCCGCCGCAGAACCGTCACCTTGCCTGCTCCGGACTCGCAAAACCCAGTACCCAGCTGGTCCTCACTGCGCGCCGTGGAACCAGCCTGAGATGCAGGAGCAGCACCGACTCCGCCGACTCCACTTCTGGTACTACCAGAGAGACCGTCTTCTCTGACTTCATTTTCTGTTCTTAGATGTTCAATTTTCTTCTGGGTTTCCTTTGGTTTTGTTGAATTTCCAATTGGGTAGACTGGAAACAGTACTGGAAATTTTGGTTCCATGGAGAATTTTGGGTTGTTTGTTTCTGCGATGAAACTGAAGGTTTTCCTATGCTGAGAGATTGCAGAGGAGAATGAGAGCAAGAGCGTACTGGATGCCTTCTTCTTGGGGAAGGCTCTAGCGGAAGTGCTGAACGAGCGGCTTGAATCGGCTGTTGGGGAGATTATGAGCACCATTGGGAAGCTTCAATCTGACCAGCAAAAGCACATACAAGGCTTCCAGGTGACGTCGCTTTCTTTCTCTTCTTTCCCCACTCTTCACTCTCCATTTCATTTCCCTCCCATTTTAACTTGGTCAAGCAAACGTTCTTTGCTCATTTCTCTTCTGGCAGGAAGATGTGGTGGGGAGAGCCAAGAAGGCCAAGCAAGAAGCTGCACAGACTACCTCAGTAGTCGAAGCATCAACTGATCCTGAAACCGACATTTCAGAGGTCGAGGTGGTGACCGGCGCATGATCTTCTCCCAGGATTGAATCTTCAGCCGGGCTCATGACCTTTTAAAAAGTCTTCTCTTTCTACAGTTTTTCCTTTAAGTTTGGTGTTCTATCATCGGGCCGAATGAAATAGTAGTTCAGTTACCCTCTTCGCAAGGGAGAATATTAGTGTTACTACCCTGTGTACCTTCTTCATTCACATTCTCATATGGAATAAAATAGATCCACAAATCTTTCTGGATTAGATCGATCACCGGAAAAGCAAGAACAAATTCGTTGATCGGCTTACCAAGTTGCAGTCACAAATTTGTAGGCATTCATTGATCGATAGCCGGAAAATGGCAGTCTGCTAGTACAAATACACTCAAAACTGTAGGCATTCATGCCAGAACTGTTGCCATGCTTTCCATCTAAAAGTAAATGAAAAAGGAGGGGTTCAAGCGATTATAGTGTTGCTCTCTCCTTCAATCGATCAATCATCATCCGGAAACTGAACATCAGACATCGGCACCTTACATATTATCTTGCTTCCATCACCGTCCTCATCTTCTTCATCGGCATCCATGGCTGAACCCTTCCTGTAATCCACTTTAAAGTCATAATCATCATCCATTGCATCCACTTTAGCAGCCTTTTTCCTCCGTTTCTTCTCGGCTTTTTTCATCTTATTGTTCACCATGCCTTCTACAGCATACAGCTTCTCATTCTGTCTGGTGGTTGAGTTCTTTGATTTGGTCATGCTGGTATCTCCAGCACCTGTACCCATATCTTGGTCTTCTTCAGCTTCCTTCATTTCGTCGGAGCCTTCTTCAGCTCTACCTGATGCTTCAGGTTCTATATTTTCCTGAATGGATGCGATCAGAAAAAGGGCACATAATCAATGCCTGATGTAGATTCTCGAATTGATACAGTGAGGCTCTTTGTTCGAAGCCCCTAAATATATGGAAGTTGTTTCGTTTTCTTATATATTTTAACTTCCAGGTAACAGGTATTGATTGATTTGGACACTTTTGAAACAAATTCCTTTGCAAGTAAGATCTCCCACGCATTCAGAGGTTGCTGGAAGAAAGTAAAGAAAACTATGAAATCCAAAAATGCTAATGGGGTATTTAGTGCACAAACCTCTAACATGCTCTCATCAAAATTGAGTGGGCTGCTGGAAGGAACTTCAACAGGTATGAAGTCATTGACAGACTTCAAACTTCCAATAAATGAAGATTCACTATTGTAGACTTCATCAATATTAAACTCCTTGCCTAGCTCGGAAACAATCTTTGCCTCTGAAGCTTCTTCCTGATTCCTGATTGGAGGCATTGTGTAATATGGAATCTTCCCTGAGGACCAAAGAAATTATGCCACTCGTCAATTGAAGGCAGAGTTGAGACTACCTTCCTAATCACAGACCATTCTACAGCTGATCATATACATGAAAAAGAAGCAGACAACTATTTAACATCTTCGTACCAGTATTCCAATCATGCAGGACAATTCTAGCAGCAGCTTCAATATCAACAATACCACCCTTTTTTAGCCGTCCTCTGACTGTAGCTAAGTTCTGCAGGAAATCATCGACCGAATCAAAACTTGGAATCTTGTACAGTGTCACCAGCAGCCTTTCTGGACAGCGCTTGATAATTTCTTTCACTGCATTAGAATGAATAAAATGTAAATAGCAATTCAACTTTCAACAAGTGAATTCTAAATTCACAACCTCCAATTCTAAAGATGCAGGTACAGAGTCCAGATATAAAATGAAATGAACTATCTTTGATACAAACTCAACAACATTGACACTAGTACTTCCCAATCATATGGTTTAAGAGAGAAACAATGGGAAATTGTTGATGCCTCTGAAGGTCCTTTATCACATTAGTTTTCCTTCTTTTAAAACAAATGTCGGCAATCCAAGATGATGAAAAGCAATACAGAAGAGTGTAGCAAATGAGGTTTAGTTAAACACGCTTTTGCATGGTTATTTATGTAAAAATGAAACATCATACCACACATTTCTCATATTTAAGCTTCACAAACTATACTGTTGAAAAGTATATTGATGCAAAAAAGTTATTCAAACGGCATCAACATTAAAAATGGTCCAATTACCTGGACTAATGGGATCATCTAACTTTTCGATTCGCTTGCAATTTCGGAGGGCAATAGATGCATCGTCTTCCTGAGATTTAAGCATGACAACACCCGGACAGTCTACCAATTTAACATTCTTATCCAATTGAACCTCTTGCAATGATCTTGTCAATCCAGGGGTAGCACCAACATTAGCAACATGGCTTCTCTTCAGACTGTTAATGAGACTGCTCTTACCAACATTAGGTAGACCAATAATACCTACTGTTATGGATTTCTTGATCTGCAAAAGATTACGCATTAAAAGGAGCGTAAACTCATTTGTATGCTATAAGACCCACCCCATTAAACAGAAAGATATATATATTAAGAAACATGAATAAGCTCTTACATCGTGACTTCTAGAGTAATTTTTCAGCAACTTAATGAGAGTGTCAGCGCCAAGACAATCACTTGTTTGCAGAAGATTGCTTGGTTTTGCTGTCTTAGAGGAAGATTTCTTCCAGCCCAAATTCGACCTCTGCTCTTGAGTACTACACTTGAAGGCAACTGCTGGTAGCTCTTCCCTAAGGTACTTGAGCCATTTTTCAACCGCTTCTCGTGGAACAAGATCTGAAACAAATGTAACAGTAACCTCAGCAAAGCAGAAAAATCAAATGGATGAGGGATGAAGAGTTAAATGGCAGTATCATTATGAAATGAAGAACATAAAAGAGCTAATTCAAGAAAAGGGAGACTCGAAAAAGCTTACCAATTTTATTCAGAAGCAATACGAGATGCTTCTCAGGACCAGATTTCATCACCATTTTTTCCATATCAATACAACGGGTGCCTAACGGATCTCTGGCATCAAGAACTTCTAAAATGACATCTGATACTTCAATGACTTTAACCAACTCCTTATAGAATACTTTATCTGAACTATCTGTGGGGTGGAAAAAATGAAATCCCAATCAGCTCATCAGCAAATGGTCAAATGGGCACATTCCCATATTTCTTTTCCCCTTGATTCATTTCCCAAACCATTCCACCATATCAAACATACCCCGATTTCTTGCGACTTCAACCACCTGCTTCCTATCTTTCTCCTCCTCTGCCCCAAGTTCCATAGCAGCAGAATCATCCTCCAGTATGCCCAATTTCCTCTTTCGAGCCTGAAGTTAACATTGGTATTTCATTATTCATACGATATTAATGAAAAATATGGCAACTGGTTACATCCACATGACAGATATTCACAGTCCATATTGGTTTCGACTGAAAACAGCAAATGCAGTGCTCCAAAACTAAGAGCTAATGAATTTACCCGTTCCTTGCGCTCAGCTTTCTTCCGCTCCAATTCCTCTATAGCACGAGCGCGCCGAACTTCAAGGGCCTTGAGCTCCTGTTCCTTAAAGGGCCAGTCATTGGGAATCCCCGGGTCCTTCTCGACCTTCTTCTTACCAGTACGAGCCAACTTCTTAGCTTCCTTAGCCTTCTTCTTATGGTGCTCCTTCACCTTCCTGATAACCTTGTGCTTCTTCTTCAGCGTCACCCTCTTACTCTTACTCTCTACAAGAGAAGCAACGAGAAATTTGCATAACGAAAGTTGGAACTGCAAGCCTTTTTCGAACAGAAAAAAAATATAGAATCGAAGTAGTGCAACATATGGTCTCGCTTACTCTTGCTCTTCTTCACCATGATGGATGCTCACCGGCAAGGACGTGAGGGGGAACAGAGACGACTGATGGAAAGGAAACTGGACGGTGAAAGGTTGTAGCTTCCCCTTCGGAGAGTTGAAAGGAGCTGGAGATTGACGACCGCGAAAGGCGGTTTTGATGATGTGTTATTCTTTTTGCTAGGGTTTTAGAAGGGGAGAAGGAAACAGACGGAGCCCTGGATTTGTATTCACCCAGGTTTCTCGGCCCAATGAGCCATAAACATCACCTTTGTTTTGGATAATTCAATGAGTGTTCATTCAATCATGAAATCGGGCCTCGACAGCCTGGGTAACAAACTCACGGGCCACAAGCCCAAACAAATGGATAGGAGGGTCAAGAACCAGTTGATCCCAATGACTCCATGAAATCGGGTCTCGACAGTCTGGGTAACAAACTCACGGGCCACAAGCCAAAACAAATGGATAGGAGTGTCAAGAACCAGTTGATCCCAATGACTCGAGTTGTTGGAGAGGTTTAATAATGAATCTTATACCACTCACTAACAAGGAGGACGTTACTCCCAAAATAACTCTGTGTTAAGAACCATATCGGAAAGGTTAGTAGTTATGGTTTAGTGGTTAACCATTATAGAATTGTTGATAAACCGTTGATAGACCAGTTCATATGGTATAATATAAAAAAATATATATAATACAATAATGTTAGGACTGAATTTATAGCTAACTATAAACAATTTCAAATTCATCCATCAACAAAAGTTCGAACAAACCATTCAAATAGTCTCACAAAAGAAATCATAAAAAAGTCCAATAAATTCAAGTTAATAATTAGGGTTGACTATTTGTAGTGGACCGAGTAAAGTCGGCAAGGAGGTTGGGAAAATAAATAAGAGGAAGCAAAAATAAAATTAGAAATTTAGATTGGATGGTCTTGAATTAACATTAAAGTATTTTCTTTCATAATTTTTGGTTAAAAAGTGACTAGTGAACAAATCAAATCAGGATGCTTCATCTGGTTTCATGTCCAACTGCTAGGAATCGTTCAGTCCATATAGAGTTGCCCAAACAGACTAAATCTCTATTGTAACTGGTTTGACGGTTCTACTAGTGCGAACGTTGATCCCGTCCAATCTCTAACGAGCCATAAAATTTGTCAATTCATTTCCCAACCTTACGAAACAAAGCTTAAACCCACAATCAGTCCCTAAATTTTTAGATCTCTAATACATTCACGTATCAACTTCATCTACGTTTTGTCCTCCTCTCCCTATTTAGCTTGTCGATGATCGAAATGCATTTAGTTTCAATCAATGGAGGCGAGAGATTTCATGTTGGATTCTCGTCCTCAATGATTCACTATTCAGTTTTGCACAATGCTGCCAAAAAAGATTCCACCACCATTAAGAAGCATGGCATCCAAATTGAGCTTGAAGAAGCATGTTGATTGATTCACTATAGATAGGGTTCGAATTAATCTAGTAGACAATTAGAATCGTATTCCCATGGGGCTCTTACACCAACTTACTCAATCAGTAAGGGACTTGTTCTTGGATTTGAATGCCCAAGTGAGGTTAGGTATCTCGAGTTTTGTAAGTGTTTTGAAAGGGCTAAATTACACATTTGGTCACTCAAATTATATAAATTTTTCACGTTTGCCACCCGAATTACTTTTCTTTCATATTCACCACCAACTTTACGATTCGTTTCACTGTTAGTCACCGGCCGTTAGACTCCGTTAACTCCGTCAGTTTTTGATGACATGGCAAATGAAACAGCTAACTGGACCGTTAAATAATGACATGTCAATTTAAAAAATAAAAAATAAATGTCATTTTCCCCCCTTAAGCGCTGTCTCACTCATCTTCAACCCTTTCCTTCCTACAGCAGCAGCCTTTCAAGGTTATCTTCCCGGAAGTCGAAATCCCGGACGCCGGATTCGCTTCTCCCGCCGCCCTTCCGACTACTTCTGGCGACCCTGGAGTGAACTCTCTGGACGAGTTGTTGGCGATCGAAGCCATCGACGACGACTTCAGATCTAGGCCAGGTGATCTGGAGACCTCTGAAGCCGAACCTAGAACTGGCCCGACGCTGTCGGCCGTGCTGTTGCTAGCCGTCTGAGCAGCGCTATCGGCGACCTTGCTCGCGGGGTGGTCGCATTACCGGCGGAGGCGGCAGAGGAGGAAGCAGCAGAGGAGGCGGCGTTGGTGTTGGTGGTGGGTTGCGCTTGAAGGAAGCAGCTCGGTGGGTCATGGAGCCCGTGAAGCGGGGGCTATTGACTCGCTACGCGTCGCCATCGCTGGTGTTGTGGTGGTGGGCGTGGGAATGAGCTTGGTGTCCCGTATATATGACAAATGGAGGGGGGGATTTTCAGAGTTGTTGTGCGGAGCAACAGAAGAAGAAGTGAAAGGGCAAAACAGAATTTGAAAAAGCAATCAATATACAGGGTGGTAGTATCGTATTGTGGTTGTTTGCTATTCAATTAGAGACGAAGGAGTCGGAGATGGCCATCGCGATTGGGAAATTGATGTGGTCGAGGAGGAAGAAGACCACGGTGGTGGAGAGGGTAACGACGACGATGAGAACCAGCAACCCACCATATTGAAAATGTCCCTGCATCCACCCCAAGGAACTAACTGAATTCAATCCTTGAATTATATCGACTATATTGGATTCGGTTTCTAGATAGGAACAGAGCTAGGGGATAACTTTGAGCGACGGCGGGTGCTGTAAAGAAGGTAAGGGTTGAAGATGAGTGAGAGTGTGGAAATGGAAGGGAAAAGGGGTTTTTAATTTTTTATATTGACATGTCATTCTTTAACGGTCCAGTCAGCTGTTCTGTTTGCCACGTCATCAAAAAATTAACGGAGACTAACGGTTGGTGAAACGAATCGTAAAGTTGGTGGTGAATATGAAAGAAAAGTAATTCGGGTGGCGAACGTGAAAAATTTATGTAATTTGAATGACCAAATGTGTACTTTAGCCGTTTTGAAAGTAAAGAAGTGCAGAAAAATGATCCTCCTTATAGTTAGTTTGATTTCTTTCCTATGTTGGTTTAGCTACTTAACATTCACAACACTACAACAAAATCCATATATAGCGGCTAAGTGATTTTGCCTCTATAAGTCTATTATTTGCCTCTGTATATATTTAGAGGCAGATAATACATTTGCCTCAAATACTCTAGTGGCTATAGCCCTACAGAGGCAAATATAGTGGCACATATTATCTGTTGTTGATTAAGGATTTTGTGACTAATATTTTAGCCGCTACTATCACTTTTATTTTGTTATTATATCCAATATTATTTGCCTCTAAAAGGATCTTTAGAGGCTATTAAACTTGCCTCCAATATTATCTATAAAGGCATATATTTTTGTTTCTGAACCTAGTTAACGAGGCTATTAAATTTGCCTCTAATATTATTTGTGGAGGCAAATAGTTTTGCTTGTGAAATTAATTTTTAGAGGCTAACAAATGTGCTTTTGTATTGATTTATTGTAAAAAAATATTGATTCGAAAATATGAATATATTATACAACATTCCATTAATTCTATTGATATGATAATTGAACAACAACAACAGAGTAATGAGTTTACAATGTAAGATTGAAGAGAAGGAAATGAGAGTCCAAAAGTGGAAAATGTAGATGCCGCTTAGCATTGGGGCTAATACATGTGCCTTTGATGATCTTGTCCTCTCTGGTATGAGTCCGACATTTGAATGAGATTTGCCTTCTCTTGTTCATGCTCCCTTAATTGAAACCACCGCAACAATATAGGCAAGGTCCAATCGAAATGAATGTTCCTGGAAATTATGAATCTCATTTTTAGATATAAACACCAAACCAACCTCAAATCGAAATCTATAGGAAGATTCGACGGGAACAAACTCAGTTTATTACTTACCCGTCGCCGGTTCGCAACTCGCCCTCACAAATCTTGCGACTTTTCTCTTGATTTGGACAATAGGGGTCTCGTGTGTGATGATCTCGTCGCCGCCCTTCTTTTTTGCGAATTCTAAGTGAAGGTTATCTGCAGGTAAGAAAGTAAGAAACCCAGCAAAACAAAGCACACAGACGGAAGTTCAAGAGGTGCGATTAGGGATCTAGAATATGCCCCATATTTTAATGGATTTGGGCAGAGGAGTTTTCAAATCTAGAGATCCCAAATGAATCTAGAATCAAGACAGAGCTCATTGTAGATGGATCTCAAGGATCTAAAGATTGGTAGATTTAGCGAGGCTTCAAGTTAGGTCCACTTACCATTGTGGACGCCAATGTCGGATTAGAGGAAGAGGCCAACGATGGGTTGCGGGGGAGGAAAAGAACTTTGACGGTGAGGAAAACTCAGTGGTGGTGACGGAGAGGACTCTAGCGCCGGATTAGAGGAAGAAGGTATTGCTGGAGAAGATAACGACGGATGGGGAGGTTCAATCGCCGCAGTATTTTCGACATCAAGGTCCCTGGTCGGAGTTTCGTGACTAGCGTTGGAGTAGTTGACGGCGGCAACATGTATCCCGGAGAAGGTAGAGGGAGGGAGAGGAAGGGAATTAGGGATTCGCAGGAATAGGAAGAGACACTGTGGTGTGGGTGGGCAGGGGCGTAGGTGTGTTATTATTTCCTTTTGTTTTTTGTTTTTTTGTTTTTTTAATTTATGGGCAGATTGGTCCGATTGGAGGTGGCGAAAAGCATGGAAAAATCTTATATCTATATTCTATAGAGGCATTTTTGTATTTGTAGGATATTAAGTTCTTTTAGAGGCACATAACAACATCTATTGAGGCAGATTCTAATCTGTTATATATACATTTATTTTTAGAGGCATATAACAATACTTATAGAGGCAAATTGTATATATGTTGTATATAATATACTTTTAGAGGCATATAAAATATTTGCCTCAACGTTTAGTCGCTAGAGATAGATTTTCTTGTAGTGCAACTTTGTTTGGCTAAATATTAGTTTGGGCCCAAGAGAAGTAGCAAACCTAAAAGCACTTAAGGAATACTATTTCGTTACACTATACTATGTTGTCTAACTAAGATATACTTGACTTGATAATTTGTGGTAAAGTAACAAGGCATCGAGTTAAAAATTGTGAAACTGGAGTCCAATCACATCATTTACTTATTTGCAGCTTGTCAAAGATGGCACAAACCTAAGTGTAAGTCCAATTTGGATACACAGAGAAAAAGAGTATGTAATGATAACCACCAACAATGGAATGAAATCAACAACCCACTAACATAACACATTTAAAAACTTTTCTTTCTCTTATGTTCTATTATTATCACAATCAAATAATTTTTTTATGTTTCCTTGTAACCCATAACTTAGGGATTACTCCTCTTTAAGTAAGGGATGTTTTTTTTCCTTTTTGCTTTCTTCCTTCCCTTACCTCCCTGCCTTTTCCAAAAACTCCCCTTGAATTTTATCTTTCTTCAACCAATTTCTTTGTCATCTTGTAATAGTTTCCTTTTATTCCTCTCGACTTGTCGTTAGATGTATTTCGACGAGTTCCGACCAATCTCAACGATCAATTATTGTTTTCAACCTTTTTGTCAACGTTCGTGTAAACATTATTGAAGATATAATTATTTTTTTATTGCAAGTAAATGTAAATACTGAAAATCAAATAGGTAACATTGTTCATGCACTTAGCAACATGTATTGTATACACAAAAGTACTACAATGTATTTGAGTAAAACAAAATTCCTATCTGATATAAAAGTAACATCTATGTAAAAGAGATTTCAGGCATGTATTTTCCATATCATTGAATTTTATATATTATAATAATCAATAGTGGCATCATTAAAAATACCTACACCATATATTATTTTGGACTTTTGCTCTTCATTATATTAAATATAATAATAACGCTCTCAATATTGAATTCTTATAAAATGAACGCTCTCACACTCCCACTCACGCTCTCACTCCACTAACTAGTTACATAATAAGTCTGGCTAAATTGCAAGTTTGGTCACTTGAATTACTATAAAATTTCATGTTAGCCACTATAATTACTTTATTTCATCCATAGTCACTTAAATTAGGTTAACAGTTCAAGTTTGGTCACTGACCGTTAGTCTCCGTTAACTTTTGCTGATGTGGCGGTCAACTCTTATAGTTGACCGTTAAATGAGTGACGTGGCAATTAAAAAAATAAAAAAAAATTAATAATTTCCACCTCATTATTACAATAAATTAAAAAAATGTCACAAGGAGACACGTCTACTCCTCCCTCCTTTCTCCTCTCTTAATTCTCATCACAGTTTCAATCGTCATAACCTCTGTTTCCGCCAACGATGACAACACCAACGCTTCTTTTCTGTCTCCCGCTCCGACCACTTCAGCCTTCAGGCCTTGTTTCATACGTGCCCCCTGACAGTTACCTGCTCAATTGCGGATCGTCTCAAGACACCAAGCTCGCCGATGGCCGAACCTTTAAATCTGATTCTGCCCCCATGGCTTACCTCCAGACCAGTGAGGAGGTCAAGGTGTCTGTCGATTCCATCCCTTCCTCCCTTCTTCTTCGCTCGAATTCCGCCATCTCGCCTTCTTCACTCCCTCTGTTCCACAACGCCATGATCTTCACCTCTGTATCCAAATTCACACTCTTAATCACTCGGCCGGGGAGGCGTTGGCTTCGTCTCTACTTCTACCATCTCCCCCACCCTCATTGCCCTCCTTCCTCTGCCGTCTTCAGCGTCGCCACCGCCACTTCCCTCATCTTGCACGAATTCTCCGTCGCCAAAAACTCCCCACCCGTCTTCAAGGAATATCTCCTCGACGTCACCGCCGACCAATTCGCCCTGTTTTTCAATCCCAGAACCTCCTGCACATTCCTCAATGGCCTGGAGCTCGTCTCTATTCCCAACGGGCTTATCTCCGACGAAGAGTCCCCGATCCCCGGAAGTACTGGTGCTGCTTTCAAGGGTTTGTCCAAGTTCGCGTTCCAGGTTTCTTACAGGCTGAATGTTGGAGGGCCAATCATAACTCCGGCCGATGACGCATTGACGAGGACATGGACGAAAGATACTCCATACAACGATTTCCCTCAAGGAGCTCAGAATGTTTCTGTATCGCCAGACACCATCAAGTTCCCCATGTCCTCTGGACGTGCAGTAGCGACGCCTTACATTCCGCCGAGCTTGGTCTACGCCACTACAAATCAAATGGCGGATTCAGAGACCCAAACCCAGAACTTCAACTTGACATGGAAGGTACCTGTTGATTTGGGATTCTCCTACCTAATCAGGCTCCATTTCTGTGACATTGTGAGCAAGTCTCTCGACAGTCTGTACTTTAATAAAGTTCTTCTTCTAGTGACATATTTTTTGTTTTAATTATTTTTTAATTTATTGTAATAATGAGGTGGAAATTATTAAAAATTTAATTTTTTTTAATTACCACGTCACTCATTTAACGGTCAACTATAAGAGTTGACCGCCACATCAGCAAAAGTTAACGGAGACTAACGGCCAGTGACCAAACATGAACTGTTAACCTAATTTAAGTGACTACGGATGGAATATAATAATTCTAGTGGCTAACGTGAAATTTTCTAGTAATTCAAGTGACCAAACTTACATTTTAGCCTAATAAGTCTTAACCAAATTGAAAGACCCTTTGAAGTTTGAACCATCTAGACTGAACTAAACCCATATTTCATTGGACTGACATGACAGAATGTGGCTGTAAGCCCGGCCCGTTCTGACTCATAGCGAGCGATTTCCACAGATCGCACGGCTCGACTCATTGAGCTGTTTCACCTCACCAACGACCCAGTGACGAACTCCCGAGATCGGAGTTCAATCAAGAACCAGGTGCTTCATCCATTTTGACGATTCAATCCGCGCCTTTCAGAGTGCCTTGCCGCGCTCATTAGTCCTTCCTTTCATGGTGCTACGGTTGATTCGTCACTAAGAAGCGAATTCAAACGTGGGAATCCCGGCCCTAATGAGGTTGCTGATGGGCGGAATTTGATCGCCTTTCTTTTGGGTTCTGCCTAAAATTTCTGGTTAGCGCCTTTGATTGAACTCCTTCCTTTCCTCTTACCTTCTTTTCTCAGAATCTGTGGCTGATTGGACTTGTAAGTGGCTGATGGAATGTTCTGAAATTGGATTGGCTCTGGCTCTCGGTGATTTTTGCTGAGGAAGCAAGACCTCTCCTGTTCTTCCCCCCCTTCCCTTCCCCTCTTTTCGGGTCTTTAAGCTATGCGAAGTAACGTTTGGAAATGGGTACTGGGCTTGGTGTACATTTTTGCTGTCGCAATCATCTGGATAGGTGCTAGTTTCGTGGTGCAGTCAGTTGTTGATGGTGGCGTTTCGCCGTTCCTCATCACCTATATCTGCAATTCATTGTTCGTGGTGTATCTTCCTATAGCTGAAATCGCTCGCTATTTAGAAGATTGGAGGGATAAGAAGAATGGGACTTCACATGAACTGAGAGAGTCGGAGAGGGATATTCTTCTTGACGAGTCCGAACTAAGCGAGGAATATGAGTACGATGGATCTACTTCCAATCCATCTATGCTGCTTGTAGAGGAGGACGAATTGGTGGAGGAGGAGCAAGAAAGTGCTGAAGGTCTTGATTCGAGATTGGATACCGTCATATCTTACGAGGTCGAACCACCCTTTCCTGAAGATGACAGTGTCAATGAAGGAGTTGACTCCAAAGGGCGATGGACACGAACAAGGGTGGCATGGGTCAGCTTGCTCATTTGCCCATTCTGGTTTTCTGCACAGCTGATGTTCAACCTGTCCCTGAAGTATACGACTGTGACGGTAAGCATGTGAGGGTTCATAAAATCAAATCTCTTTCTGGCTGTTATTCATTTGAGGTAATGTAACAGAATTTCCATTTTTGTTATCTGCAGTCGAATACAATTTTGAGCAGTGCATCCAGTCTATTTACCTTTTTGGTGTCCCTAGTTTTCCTGAGTGAGAAGTTTACCTGGGTAAAGTTTGTAAGTGTTCTTCTATGTATGGCTGGAACAATTATTGTCAGCTTGGGTGACTCAGAATCTGGACTAAGTGCAATTGCTTCAAGCCCTCTTCTTGGAGATATTTTCGCTCTGGTATCAGCTGGACTCTACGCTGTCTACATTACACTGATCCGCATAAAGCTACCAGATGATGAAGAGAAAAATGGAAGGGCCAGTATGGCTCAGTTCCTTGGATTTCTGGGTCTTTTCAACCTCTTCATTTTCCTTCCAGTCGCAGTTGTGCTTCATCTTACTAAGCTAGAGCCTTTTAATGCACTTACCTGGAAGCAGCTTGGACTTGTTGTTGGCAAAGGTAATTAATTTCATCCCTCGTATATGCCCAAAAACTATGGTTTCCATCTTTTCTTGTAAGAAATGTTGTTTCAGCAGAATGCACACTAACGTTCCTGTGTATTGATTTTGCATAGTACTTACAGTCCTGGCTTTTGCTACGGTAGGTTATTTTTTTTGGACCGAGAATGTCTCGAGTATTTTCACTGTCCCTGTTCAAACCATTTGGTGTATTGATAAGAAATGTTTCCCTTGATGATTTAATGCTCTAATGTCCTTTTCCCATTCCTGATTCCACCATTAATACTCCTGGTGTATTGAGCAACTGTTTTAAATGCAGCTGATTAAATTACTTTCTTATGCCGGCTGCAAGTGAAGTAAGAATATTTTGGTTGAAAAGATGTTTCTACTTGATCTTGCTCTCCAATTTAAGTCATAGGAACATAGGTTTTAGTTGAAACAAACGCACTCATTGCTGATGATGATGCCATGCCGCGATTCATCTTTTGGATATGACATCACAATTAGGCTACTCATGTAGGTCTGGAAGTAAGTTGTTCATAGCAAACTTATGGAATCTGACTCCCTTCTGACTTGGAAACAGGTCTGTTAGACAACGTGCTGAGTGACTACTTGTGGGCGAAAGCTGTGTTGTTAACAACCACGACGGTAGCCACTGCTGGTCTTACAATCCAGGTCCCATTGGCAGCTATTGTAGATAGCATCACTGGCAATGCACCTCGTCTCATGGATTATCTAGGAGCCATAGCTGTGATGATTGGATTTGCTGGAATCAACATCCCTTCCGATGAATCAAAAGATGCGGGTGCAGAACCGGAAGATTGTGATGGTAGACTTGAAGCAACACAAGCCAATGTTTGAATATGGCGGACTCTGTAACTACAGCTCCTTGTTTCGTATGAAAGAGTTGATTGAACACCATTTGTCTTCTGTATCCAACCATTTACCACCACTTTTTAAAGATTTCTGAAGATTATACATTGGGAAGGCTTCTGAGTCGAACGTATTAGAGCTTCTCCGTTCATGTTGTACAATTTTGTTTCTCTCTCTTTGTAAGCACATTGTACAATTTTTGTCGAATGTAAAACTGAACCATGCAATAGAGGAATCCGCTTACGAAATTCGAATACTCATTAAAAGTTCTGCGGCCATTATCAACTTTCAGGCTGATGTCCATAGGCGTTCAAAGACAGATCATAATGATAAAAATACCCCGCTTATAATGGGTGTTCCCAACAACCATTGCACAATAGCAGCTGGTAATCCGATCGATACATTATCCTTAACTACGCGGTGAGGCAATGTTCAGATTCCCATATCTCTGCATGACTCTCCTAGTTGCTAGAGCCGCAGCCTCGCTTGCACGCACTGTGCCCTGAGCCATGATGGTAGCAAATTCTTGACTGATCTCGTCCTGCACTTTGCTCCTCGCGTCTCCAAGTGGATCGGCAACAGAGGCTTTCTGCTCACTTTTGGAAGGCTCAATGGCAGGAGGGTCAGACTTAACTGATGGGACCTTGTTTTCTGACATGACTTTATCTCCAGACTCCTCAGATGAAGCTTGTCCAGCAGAAGATACAGCACCATTAGCCGAGGATTTATTTGCAGTTTGTGCTTGCTGGCTAGACGATGTAGGCCTGAACTGTGGTGCTCGAGGGACAGCTCCTGCTCTCAGTGTCGACTCTAGGTTCTGAATCATGGGCACTAAGCAAACAGACAAAAAAAAAGTTTCACAGTTAAAGACTAGAACAACAACTTGACAATGCACAGATTGCATTGCCCAAGGTGAGATCATCTATATATCACAAACATATGCAAACTGAAATGGAAGAACATCACACTTCCTCAGCCAAAGAGGGGTGTCAAACATGAGCGAGAGCAACTTACACATTAGGGAACCCATTGGACTGCTCATAACTTCATTAGGAAGCTGAAGAATGTAGTCTGGAATGGATGCTCCAACCAAAAATTGTGCAACCTCGTTGCTAAAATTGTTACAATTGTGTTTGAGCAAACTGTACGTTTCGCCCGTATAGCGAGAGCTAATCTCATCCAAATACATTTCAAATACATCCTGGGGTACATGTGTGACTCCCAGCTCTACGACTTTGATAGCTGTCCCATATGGAGTCATTCCAGCAGTGTCTTTCTGTATGCCTCCGCCAAAGTAGTATTCATTGCCGTACACCACTACTCCTGTATGCCTGCATGGTCAACAAATGAGAGTTAAATTTGGAGCCGCACTTATCGATATTTGCTAACATTAGGGATAATGAACCAAGCAAGAGGTTCAAACAGACACTAACACCATGTTCAGCACACTAATAGGTCCAGAATAGGCTCTACCAATCACCTATGGCTAGATTTAGACAAGAGTGTCTCATAGTAAGCTAAGCCGTTGCACATCAAAGAATGCAAAGCTTCCATCTTCTACTTTTGCATCTACTTAAGATTAAGACATCCAACATTTGCATTCCTCTAAACCTATAGAGGCCTCTTATATATTCACCTCTATTTCAAGATCCTTAAACTCCTATGCAGCTTAAGCATAAGAATGCAATCAAAATCACAATTCTACGTAGAAGCGTTTTGGTAACCTAGAAGCATAAAAGTAAAAACGAAAGATTTTAAACTTTAGATTTTGACTACATTTGTAAGTAAAAATTGAGATTCTATTTAGAAGCGTATTAATAACCTAGAAGTGTAAAAACGTAAGCTTTTTAGTCTTAAATCGCGATTTTTACTACATTGAGCATAAGGGCACCAGGAACCAATAATGGGGGAGCAGAATAAGCACCAAATGATCCAGATACATTCTGAATTTCTGATAGTAAGCCCAATAACGTCAAGCAAAGAGTCCAAACAAAGAATTCTCCCAAGCGCTTACACTATCAACCATGGACAGTGTACCCTGCACCTAATAGAAATACACACAGAACAGCAAAAGTTAATGTACTAACCATATACCCTCAATTGCTTTTCCAAGAAAGGTTGTGGAGAGTTGACGTGCCAGTCCCTGGCTGAGATCATACACGTTCAAGGTAACCCTGTGCCCTTCCTGCGACCAATTTCTGAGCTTAGTCAACCAGCCAAGGAAATAATACGCAAACAAGCGACAGGAGAAGCCGCCTCAACTCCATTAGCAAAAACCACAGCTTACCTCAGCCATAATCGAGAAATTCAGAAAAAGAGGGAGCTTCGAATCGACAGATTAACGAACTAGCCTAATCCTTTTTCAGCTACGCCTGCCGAGATCACAGAGAAATCGGAAACCCAAAAGTCACTTTCCAACATCACAGACCGAACATACGGGGGTCTGGAAAGATCGCATTTCAACGCACATCGCAGAATCGCCGGCGAAATTCACAATAAATCCGGGAAGAAAATCCCCCATCCATAACTACAGATCTAATCCCGCAGGAAAAAATCAAAAATACCGTAGATCAAGCTGTGCGTACCTGGGAAATGCGGGGGAACGGCGCCGGAAAGTTCTTTAGCCGGGGCTGTCCCAAGAGGTTATCGGTGGACGATAAATTTAGGCCCTATGATTACTGAACGAAACAAACTCCCGGGAGAACTCGGAAACAGGGAAGGGTATAGTCGTATCTGAATGAGAATTGGGAGAGAGACGTTTTTATAGTAGGTGCGAGAGGGAAATTTGGGCCCTCGGTTACCGAACGAAATTACGAAACAATGTCCGAGAGGAGAGAGCTTGGGAAAGCGAAAACTCTTCTTCTACTGCGTTCTAGAACCCTCTTCCCACGTGTACATCCTAGACGTGGCTATTTGAAGTTTGATTGCTTGAACAATGGTTTAATTTCAAAATTTTTTTTTGGTAAAATGTGGTTTAATTTCTTTTAATAACTAGTTTGGTTGGTACCCATTTGTTGACGCAACACAACGTATTTTACGACATGTATTTCATTTTTTTTCAAATTATTTGAAATGTATAATTTCATATAACATTAATTTGACATTGAAATTATATTTCAATAATTTTAGATTAAAATCTCCATTTATAAATGACCGAACATTGTACTATGAATGACTATGAACCTTACGAATAAACATTCATGATCTGTCTATTTAATGATGCAATCACTTAGTTGTTTGTGGTTGAAAAAGAAAGGGCTAATACCACTAAAATGGTAAAAACACCAACCTTTAAAGAAAATATCATTTATATTACGAAGTTTGTTGCTATTGACACCCTTGCCCACCTTTGCGGTTGATATTGTTGTTATTAGAAGTTTGTTGCTTGAAATTGAGGCCTTGGTTGAGGAAACGGGGCTCTTGGTTGATATCCGTCGGTAGGCCCTAGAAAACCTGCTAGTCTCGGATTAGACGGTGATTCCCATGAAAAGTTTGGATGGTTGCGCTAACCTGCATTGTATGTGTTGCTATAGGAGTTGCTGTTGTGCAGCATTTGAGATAAACAACTCGGATATTGGGGGGGGGGGGTCTTGTTGAGCATGTTCCCTTGGCACAAGAGAAGAGACCGTTGTAAAAGATTCCAATCTTGAAATATTCATCAAAAGCATGGTGTGGGCATTGAAGGAAGATGTCGGTATAGAGCTCCCAAGCATCTCTCTAGGTTTTATCTTCTTCTTGAGTAAAGCGAGTGATATTTCTTCGAAACTCCGCTGTATTGAAAGGCTGGAATTACCTAATAATGAACTTTGTCAACAAGTCATTGGATGCTAATTTGGATGTATGCCCCTCGTGGGGACATGTACAACTCCATGGTCTTTGCTTCATCCCCATCTTGTGCAGCTTTGTTTGCCATGCAAGTCTTTCCCTCGCTTCCCTTAGCTCCTTCTCATGAGCAAGTAGTCGGAGAGTTCGATTGATGTTGTTTTCTAGTGGTTCCAACGGTGTTGGTTTGCTCTGGGTCTTACACGACATGCACACATTGCAAACAACACATAGCCAACAAGTAAGGTCTGACGCACACAATGCAAGAAAAGAAATTTCAGATTAACGGTAGTTCAGATGTTCAAGATAATAAATCGTTGTCTTGTCCCTAGAAACAACGCCAGAAAACTTGACTCGTGGCTTACTACACACTCCCATTCGAAGGCCAAATATAACCTATGATCGAGTGTAGTATAGAGTAAGTATTTTCAATTTATCAAACCTGGGCAGTTTATGTATTCGTACTTTAGCAAACTACAGATAATCTAGAAGTAGAAACGCTGTTTCAAGCTATTAAACTAAACAAACAAGTAAAATTAGGTTGAATTCAAGTGAGAAAGCTTCACTCGGATGATTATCACCCTAGTCCCGTGTTGAGAGGATGACATGATACTCTAGCGTGATTTTCATTATATATATATACCTTTAGGATGTCAAAACTAGTTAGGAGTCTCTATTCGAGTTGTCCTAACCCACCTAATTATTCTAATCGGAGAGGTGTACCAAACTATCGAATTAGGCAATTTGGGCAATCGAATCCACTCCTTTAGACGATGACCAGGAACGACGTAAAAAACCAGTCACCCTCGTTAATGGCTCTCTACGATGATTGAATAGTGACCCAAATTACTATAAGGAGATCTTCTCTCTCTTGGGTTAATTTACCACAAAATTGAGGGAATTGATCAATGATACTCAATTTTCATGATAAATACTCAAGCAATATATAATCAAACATGTCGATCACAACATAGAGTTCATAACAATCAATCCACAATCATAGAATAGGGTTTACATCATCCAATTGAAAAAGGGAAATCTACTCCATAACTAGAGAAAAAACTACAACTAAAGAGAAGGAAAACCCCAGAGAAAGTTGATTCTCCTTCTTCATAGTTGCTTGGAAATGATGTTGAAGATGCAATATGGACTCCTTTGGTCTTAGGTAGGTCAAATTCTTCTACAATCTTTCTTGGTTCATCATTGTCTGTCTCTAGGTTGTGAAAGAAAGAAACCCATCTCACACTAAAACTTTTCTCCCTTTGAAATCTGATATCCTTCTCCTTTTAAAATCTTATAGTGCATGTTTCACAGTCTGTCTTCATGACCATAATGTGTGCAGTGAAACCATAATCTCAGCCCAAAATGCACCATTTCACTTACACGCTTCATGATTTTGTTGTACACTTCACGCCCTAAGCCCATGATCATTCCACTACCCATGTGACTTCTGAATGCTCCTGGAACTTTTCACACTTCACGGTTTGGCTGCAATCTTCACAGTCTCCTGCCCATGACAATGTCCTCTGAACCGTGATCCATGCGATTTCCAACTCTTTGTCCCATTTAGTCCGAATTTCGTTCCTTTCGCTCAATAGCCCGAAACATACTAAAACATTCCAAAATCTACTATACCAAGGAGCAAATGACAAAGCAAAAGGGGTCAAGTGTGAGAGATTTCTGATAACGCTTAAATTATAGTGTTTTCATCTCCCTATATTTGATAAATTTATTTTTCTATTTATACACCTTTAGTTGTTTCTTATATAGTTTCTATGAATTTCACAACTATTTGATCAATGAGTTTTCTTGAGACCTTGATTGTGTTTTAGTATTATTTTGTGTTTTTCAAGGTAAAATGCAATCAATGATGATTTGGATCACCTATTGAATCAAGTTGGAGGACTAAAGGGATAATTACTAGAAGATTAAGGAGGAATCCATCTATCAAATGAAGTCCAATTGAGCGGAACCTTGCATGAAATCTTCATATAAGTCAAAGAGGAGTCCATTATAGAAAATTCATCCCAAACGGAGAAAGCAACCCCAAGGGTCCAGCCTCAAGGACAAACATGACAAGTCGATTCCAAATTCATCCAGGAGATTACTTGTGGGCCAAGGAACCCACGACTGTGAGGAAAACCACCGCGCCGACTACCATGTGGCCGGTTCTTGCCTAAGGCCCAAGGAACCTTCTGGAAGCTTCTTACTCGTCTCCAAGTCAAGGAATCCAAGTTCAAGTTGTACAAGAATGCTTGAGTCTGATTTTATGGAGGAAAAGGTCTAAAATACCAATTATTCCATTTATTATAAATAGAGGCTAGGCTAGAGGTTTTAGGTACCAGAAAAACAGCACAATTGCGAAACCCATACACTTTCTTTTACTATTTGAGAAGTGCACTGCATACTGCACTGCACATATCAATCATGTTAGTATCCATTGGAGGGGTGCAGCCATGGAGATGCCTTCATCATTCATGGTGATATCATATATCTCTCTTATGTTCAGCTAAATCTTTTTGTTGTTTAGTGATGTGAATTTTACGATGCTTTATGCATTGCTTTCTATGATTTAATGAGATGCCTTAGTCATTCTATATCTTTATCATCTATTATGTGCTATCATGGTGTTGATTATAATATCATCTTAAGTTGATATGAAACTTCTCTTAGATGATATGTTGTTATTCTATAATGCATACTTGTGTTTGATTGATGTTTGATACATTAGACCACCAATGCCATAAACCAATGCTATGAGTTCGAAGAGGCTTTAAATAGACTTGTTATCATTGCTTCCTTGTTATTATTGATCAGTTAGTGGCATGAAGCGAAAACACGCACTAGCTAGTTGTAGTTCCTTATGCATGTGACGAAAGCTCGAGTAGGAATGTATTCACAGAAGGGTTAGAGTATCACAATAGAAGATGATGTGTAGATGCATGCCATTAATGAGAAAGTATACACGATCATCTTGATGAAGCTACCTAAACAATTGATTATCCTATATATCTTATCTATCCTTTATTTACCTGTTTATCTATCTATACATGTTTGTCTTATATGAAAACCTACTAAAAATAGAGAACTAGGAATGGCAATGGGGCAGGTCCGGGGCGGGTTTCTTGGTACCCAGACCCGCCCCGTGGCAGGTCGGGTAATTTATCACGGGTTACGGGTCGGGGCAGGTCGACCCAATGGGTAAGTAATTTATATGAAAAATATTAGAAATGTTCGTTATTTTTATTATAAGACCATGAAAACAAACAATATTATGATAAATATTGTTAAATTATACGAGAAATTGAGGTTTTTACTAATTTACAACTTTATTATAGCTAAAATTTGATTTAGTAAAAGGAAAATCCTAAGTAATTTGACTAAAATTACGTGTAATTTAGGCAAGAACGGGTCGAGAATGGGGCGGGTCAGGGCAGGTCGGGTCGATGAGAGTACCCATGCTCGCCCCGCCTACGGGGCAGGTCGGAACCGCCCCAAAACAGGTCAAACAGGTCGGGTAAAACGGGTCAGGTCGAAATTGCCATCCCTATAGAGAACCTCAACCCATTGATTTTATCTTTTCTTGCATCTTTGTTTGAGTATAAAGTATAAACAATTAGTTACAAAGTAGTGGCTATTACAGGACCATGTGGAGTACTACCTAGGCATTTGTAGGATAATTACTTTGTGATATACTAAAGTGGCATCAACCATCCAAACCAAACACTAATTTGTTTTCCTCAATTCGTCACTCACTCATTTACTTATTTCCCCTTTGTTAACAAGTTTATGTTAGTGATAGATTCCTTAGTAGATACGGTGGAGTTAGAGAGAATGATTTGTTTACTTTGAATGATTGTATCTTTGAAGATCTACATATGTTGAATCTAGGTATAACAATATCAAATATTGTTGAATATATAGATACGTACGTGATTATGTTGTAATCTTGCCTTAGTTGTCTACGTAAAATAGGCAGATTACATTTCCTTGTCCATTATCCGCTTGGATTCTACGAATCCTCATGTTGTACTGAGTGGCAACCTGATTGCAGAAGAGTAATAGATAGCGAGCAGCCTCCGACTTATATTTCAAAAGAAAAACCCACACACATCGACTAAAATCATCCACAACGGTAAGGAAATAATGAGCACCAGTGAAAGATGCCTGACTGTAACTTCCCCAAATGTCAACATGAATCAACTCAAAACAAGATGTAGTCTTGATTGTACTCGACTGAAAAGGTGTCCTAGTCTTCTTGGCTCGCAGACAAGAGCTACAAGAATCATTATTCCTCACAATTGTACTGTTTAGGGAAGATGACAAAATAGATAGTTTCTCAAAAGACGGATGACCCAGTCGTGAGTGCCACAGTCTCGTGTCCTGACAAGCTCGACTTGTAGAAAATGTCATCGGATGGCTCCCAGTAATCAACCGCAAATGATATAGGCCATCAACATGTATCCCCGTTCCAATCAGCTTCCTGGAGCGTGAGTCCTGAATTACACAAAAGTCATGGATGAAAACCAATGCCACCGAGAGATCGGTAGTTAGACGACTGACTGATAAGAGGTTGCACTTGAAATCAGGAACATATAGCACACGATTGAGAACAAAGCCATTATTCAGTTTGGCCTTTCCAATTCCCTTTACCGGGACTCCTTTACCATTTGGGATCTTGACCTGTAAACCATTGCTCGTCTCGAGCTCACCAACAAAAACAGATATATCTTTAGATATGTGTTCATTGCATCCAGAGTCGATAACCCAAGAATTTTGCTCGAAATTAAGAGGAGAGGATATCGTACCTGCCATGTTGACCGTAGGAGCCGTTGCTGCCTTAGTTTCGGTTTGAAGGAAGACTTTGAGCTGCTCAATCTGAGCTGCCGAGAGACCAGGTATAGTTGTCTCATTCATGTCGACTTGAGCTGCTTGCAGAGCTCCCGACCGATTTCCTCGTCCTCGTCCTCCTCGCCCTCGGCGAACACGTCCTCCTCTACCTGAATTTTGATCACGGCTTGGTGCAGTATCGGTTGGCCATCCTAAACCCTAAAAGTCATGAGTCTAGGGGATGGCGACAAAGAGAAGGGTTCTATGTCAGGCGTTATGAAGGATGGTCCAGATCCTTCCTCGCCATATTATCTACATGCGTCGGATCAACCGGGGCAAATTTTCGTCGGAGAATTACTCACTGAATTGAATTATGGTGATTATATAGATACGTACGTGATTATGTTGTAATCTTGCCTTAGTTGTCTACGTAAAATAGGCAGATTACATTTCCTTGTCCATCACGTATTATAGTCCTTGTCAAAGAAGCTTATGCTTCTCGTCTAGGGTAAGTCCGCCCATGTCCTTGTATAAATAGCAGGCCATCCCTATGATCTCATAACAAGTCTCTTTGAAGTGTCCGGCCTTTTGGCAGTGAGTGCAAAATGGCCTTCCATCAGGTGTTCGAGGGTACTGGGAATCAGACTCCCCCTTTGCTGTGGGTGCAGGATCCCTTTGAGTTTGAAGGGCCGCAGCTTCCACCTTCGGCCGACGATTGCTAGTGATGAGGCGCTGCTGCTCATCGTTGCTCACCATCTGGAAAGCTTCACCGAGAGTTGGTGTTGGCCGCATGGAAAGGACTTGACTTCGGACAGTAGTAAACGCGTCATCTAGACCAATTAAGAAATCAAACAAGCGATTGCTATCCTCCGCATCTCGCATTCGCTTTTCAATGCCACAAGTGCAGAGGCCACAAGTGCACTTGGGAAGGGGAGCGATGGATTGAATTTCATCCCATAAACTGCGCAATTTAGTATAAAAACCAGAAACGCTGACCTTTTCTTGTTGATGAAGAGCAATGGACCGGCGGAGTTGGTATAGACGTGCCATACTCCCCATGCCGAAACGTTCTTTAAGACCCGACCATATTTGCTGTGCAGTCTCGGCATAGCGCACGCTCAGCCTTACTTCACGTGACATGGAGTTCTTCAACCAGCCCATAACCATTGCGTTACACCGCTCCCACGCATCGGATTGCCATCCCCCTTCAGCTTTGACGAGTTTACCGGTAACAAAAACCAGCTTGTTCTTTGCTAGAAGAGCTTGACGCATGTCCGATGCCCACTCACCATAATTCAATTCAGTGAGTAATTCTCCGACGAAAATTTGCCCCGGTTGATCCGACGCATGTAGATAATATGGCGAGGAAGGATCTGGACCATCCTTCATAACGCCTGACATAGAACCCTTCTCTTTGTCGCCATCCCCTAGACTCATGACTTTTAGGGTTTAGAGCGGCCGACGTTCCGAGAAGAAGAGATAGTGACTTGATCGTTATATAATCCCGAATCCCAACCGTAGCTCTGATACCATGTAGAAATCCAAAATGCGGAAGATCAAATAAACACAGAACGCGATATTTACGTGGTATCCTCGTTCGATATGAACGAGACTAATCCACGGAGAGCTTGAAGGCTCTCGGACTACTGATATTATTATGACTGATTACTTGAATAGCGGCTACAAGGGATGGCCTGCTATTTATACAAGGACATGGGCGGACTTACCCTAGACGAGAAGCATAAGCTTCTTTGACAAGGACTATAATACGTGATGGACAAGGAAATGTAATCTGCCTATTTTACGTAGACAACTAAGGCAAGATTACAACATAATCACGTACGTATCTATATATTCAACAAATATAACTTATAAGGGACAAGTATTACCCAAGAGTACCCGAAAACCAACCGTATAGGGTTACAAAACTTCTCTGCATGGATACTGATATGTATGAATTTGAATATTTAAAAATGAGAACGACAACAAAGATAATTTAGAGAAATCCACCTGAAATCCGTTACCATTGTCATCCCTGCAACACCAACACGCACGGCATCAATGCATGCAATTTGACAATTAAACAAGCCCCCCAAGCAAAGTGAAAAGCAACCTAATCCTGTAACCAACCGAAGTTACAAGTCGTTTTGAGTTTTGACATCCATCAGCATTCAGCATCTAGAAACATTCATCATAAGAGTAAATAAGTAAATGTCTCCGTCTTCGTCTTCAGCTGCAAACTGTCAACTGCTTCTGCCACAAACTGAATACTTAATCATGAAAATGGGGCCTTCAACTTATTATTTTCTGGGGGTAAAAACCAGTAAAAAGAAGAGAACCATACCCATCCAAACCAGTCAGTCCACTAGACAAGCAGACAGATTTGGCTGTCCTCCACAAAAATAGACCCACTGTCCCCCCAATTATGAACAGTGCTGGGGCATGTGACCAATATGAGAAGGCCAGTAGAGTACAATCTATCTATAGATTTGCAAACCTCACAGACATCACCATCACAAGTGAAACTGGATTAAGAGATGCCCCTCCTCCTGTTGTAGTTTACTCCTGCTTACAAAAGAAATGTGATGACAAAAACCAACCTTGCAGGGACAAAGGAAAAGTATGATATGAAGAGACAAAAACCCACATGAACATGACAGATAAATGGGCTGTTATTGTTCTCCATAAGACCAATAATGGCTCTTCCCTTATATGGACTACCAGCTGAAATTATCAGGAAACAAGACAGCAAAAGGCAATCCTAGCTTTTCATTAACTGGCAAAATAAAAGAGAGCATCTCTAGCTATTACACAATAGTCTCCTACAAAGTTACAAAGTTACAAAGTTAGAGTTCTAATCTCCTCTGACAAACTAACCACTCTTCCTCATTCTCCTCCTCCCAAATTATTCATCAACATCACCTCTGTTAGGCTGCACTTCTTTGAATTAGACATCCTTCCAAAGCTCCATTTCCCTTTACATGAGCTTCGAAGGGCGACGGAATATAACTTTTCCAGAACCTAACTTAGTTTAAACACCACACCTGCCGCTACACAAAACACTTCGTCACCAAGAAGTTGGGGGTTGATAAATGCCCCTCCTAATGACAAAATACTAAGTCAGCGAATAACTTGAACCCATTCGTATCGCCCTGGGAGGGGTATATCATTCACCACATCAAAGTTGTACCTGTGACATTTCACATAACTAATTGTCAAGCTAGCCTCAAGAAGAAGAAAAAAAGTAAATTAAGAGAAGAAAAAAACAGCAATTTAACTAACGATATAGTGGAACTGCGAGCATTCATACTTGTCTATGAATAGTCTCCGCTGCTGCTCTTCTTGACTGGCAAAAAAGTCATCCATTTCTTGAGTAGTAGGGAAGTTCCCCAGGGTGTCATTACTAACTCTCCTGCTAGTAACCATGGAAGCTCCCTGCCTTGTTGTTGAACCAGGGGTCCCCACACTATCAGAGTGCCTTATCAAGCTACATGGTGTGCTTTCTCTGGTGCTCCTCCTAAACCAAAAATTCCGATAACGAAATTGGCTCATCAAACTAGTTAGCATTCTGAAACAACAGATTCATTATCTGAAACAGAGCGACTAGACTAGCATATTCTTCACTAAAACTCCAAACAGAAGTAATACATCGTTGGCACTACTATCCCACAAGTATCTGCAAATGTCAAGATCTCAGCAACTTATTGCACCAGTAATGTTTAAAAAAGGACCGCCAATGAACACAACCTAGATCCCCGAGGTCAGTGACCGCAATATAATCTTTGTACCACTCTACCCTGCACCAACGCGAGGGTAGATACCAACCTTTCAAGTTTCACCCATATCTGTCATGCCAAAAAACAAAAAATCCACCCCCTTAAAAAAGCTATACATTTTGAGAATCAAACAGATTCAATCAACCACGAGCACCCACAAAGGAAAAACAGTCAATATGGAGGTCATACACACTAAAAAATACAATAATTTCAGTAGAGGTCACTTAAATGATGCCTCAGAAAATTTAGTTTTCATTTCATTTTCACTGTACCTAACCGAAAAATTTGACAGCAGCGGATCAGTTGCCTCAATACAAAGAAATAAGACGGAGGGGGCATTAATAAATCTGTTGATAGGTACACCATGTAGTAGATTTGGAACTAGTTGCGTGATAAGCATTAAAGAACGCCATTCACAAGTTGGCAGACACCTTTTACCGTCTGTGAAAGCAACTCTCAGACTGCGAAATATGTTTACTAATTACTAGTGTATCACTAGAACATGAAGGGAAGTCCGAAACAACTTAGAGCCACACAAAGGAGACGATGCAATTTTCACATCGCAGCATCAAAAGGGGAAAAAGGCAAAAATAAAAACAAATATAAACATTCAATGATCAGAAACTCTTTCAAGTCACATAATAACTTAGAATCCCATGCTGTGACTGTGGCCCGTTCCCCATATCAGAGGCAAGTCTGATATGGACAGCACAACGAACACTTGAAATAACTCATGGAGGAGAGGTAACTCAACATATCAAGGACAAAATAGAAAGAGGGTATTGAATATTGATGGTGGAAATATCCAAAATGGGGACATACTTCTAATTTCCTTTGGTTTCTGAAGGCACATAAGAGAAAAGGAAGAAACGAGTATAATTTTTTTATCAAGGGAACTGAAGAAAAGAAGTTGCAGCTCTGAAGAAGACAATCAAGCAGGGGGATGCATACACCTATAATTTTAATACTGTAAAAAATGGAGAAATCACCCTTGTTGACCAAAATATTGAAGAAAATGAAAAAGGGAATAAAAAGAAGAGAAACTCCCCTTCATGCAGCAGACAATGAACTCTTGCATTTTAGCAAATAAGAAAAGAAAACTGCGCATAAAAACAGGCGCAACAAAAGAGTAACCAACTGAGCTCGGAAGAAAACCTAGAAGGCAGAGCAGGTTCAACTGAAACTCAGAGTTAAGACATGGAAGGCCATAAGCAGCAGTCAAGAATCCCCAAAGGTGGCCACGGTAAAAAAAAAGGCACAAAAGTCACAGCAATTAGTCAGAAGAAGCAGATAACCCACAAGGAGGAAAACTAGAAACGACAAGGTAACAACAAAAAGCGAAAAAGCAAAGCAACTAACAAGACGAGGAGGAGAAGCAAGAAAAGAAAATGGATTGATACCTTTCTCTAGTTTCGAACTCCGAGCAGTTCTCTCCAAAAGAGCCCTCAACCCCAAAATCCTCAGGCGGACTAGAACCAAACAACTCCCCTTCCATCACCCTGGCAATCTTCCCGCCGGACGACTTGGGCTCCGTGCTCACTCGAACCTTCTTAGAACCTGGGGTTTTGCACCTCAAACCCTCTCTGGGAACGCCAATTTCATCTGGGTCCTTCCGGGAGTGTAAAGGAGGTTTCTCGAGGCGGCGGCTCCGGAGCTGGAGGTAGGATAAGGACGAATCATCGACCTCGGTAGTGGTCTTGGGCGGGGACAGAGACTGTTGAAGCCTCTGAAGGGCTAGGGTTTTCGCACGGGTGCGGATGGTGGAGGTGGCAGAGGAAGAGTGAGAGAGCTCCATAGCCACCGGCGATTTGGTTTTCTTCATGTACTTGCCCATTTCCTCGCCGGGGGAAAAACTGTGCCCTACTTCTTTCCGGTTTTCGGCTCAGGTTTTGCTGATTCTTCTTCTTCTTGATCCTCAAGGAACGAGCAGCTCCGTATGTGAGAAGGAAGGGAACAGAGAAGAGGGAGAGAGAGAGAGAGAGAGGGAGGGAAGTAAAGGAAGGCGAGACTTGAGAGTCCGAGCAGAAGTTTGAGAACGGGGAAAGCGGAAAAGGGGAAAAGGGGGATTTTCCACATTTTAGGGTTTTCGTATTTTGAAGGGTAATTTTGTCATGTTCGTGTGATTTCTTCCATTTTCTCATGTATGCCATTTAAAATGCAAAAAAAAAAAAGTTTTTTTTTTCACATTGCTTATGCTTCCTTGGATAGAAATTTGTCTGTTGACCATTCCTTTTAGATTATCCATTCTGATTTTAAATCAAAGAAGAAACGTGAAATTCAAAATGGAGAATTCATTTGAAAATTTGTTTCCACCACGATGTAATTACCACAAACTACAAAACGGTTACAAATTTTTAACTTGTAGCAAATCGATAATAAATGTTTGAGCGAATATCAAAACGATAATTCTGTCACTCTCCGTTCAAAGTTATATCTCCCTTGCCGAGACAACATTCCATCGCATCAAAATTGTCAACGAGGTGATCAAGTGTTAACGAGTGGTCTAGTTTTGAGTTTAAGGGTGGTTTCGTCAAAAAAAAAAAAAAAGAGTTTAAGGGTGGTGAGTAATAGCAACTCTCACAAATTCATTTAGAGGGGAACATTGCAAGAAGGGAGTAAGAACAAACAACTCCTCCAAAGTAAAAGAGAATATTTTTAAGTTTATTATAATATTGAGTTTTTCGTAGCGGTGTATACTGACCCTTCTCCCTCACTAGGTAGTGGAAAGGTTATAGAGTGAGTTGCTCGAGAGAAGACAGTGCGAGACAAGCGGCAGCATCATAATTGAAAATGTCTCGGGAGGGATCACAATAAGAAGCTGCAACTAGAATGGTTTAGTTGTTTTGTTTTATGATGATGAGCATAAATTGGAGATTCAGAGTCTCTGTTTTATGATTTATGAATTGAAGTTGACCGGCTATTTAGAGATTTATATTTAAATTGTAATAAATGATTCAGTTTTGTTTTCTTTGCTTTGATTTTTAAGAAATTTTACTAAGCTCCGGAGCAATAGTTTCATATGTTTGGTTAAAAAGGATTAGGACGTGACAAGCATCGTTGTCGTGGTATGAGAAGGGTCATAACAAACATGACGGTACCGGGGTAGGCAAACCCTATCGAACACGTAGTAAGACTCGAGGTCATTGAAGTTCACAAGGTCGGATGGCCAACATTTAATCTTAATCAACCCACAAGAACACTGAGGCATGAAACTAGGTGTTTCGTAGATCAACAAGATTGCAAATGCCGAGCTTAGATCACGCCCTGAAGGCCACCATTCAACATGAACAAAAGTGTATCAAGGTCACACATTGAAAGCACAAACTTGGTGGGCATGCCTAATTCAAACACCATATTATGCAAAATCTTGCCCACCAAGGCTCAATCATCCAGTCAAGCACTTTAGCCACATGCAATTCATCATCATATTTTCAAAAAATCTCAATTCTTCTCACCTAAGAACCCTAGATCCAATTCTCCAAAACTAACCAAGTAAAGGATGGAAACACACATGGAGACACAAGTAGGATCGAAGAGGAAGGTAAGGAGGTGGCAAGGAGATCAAAAAATGGCCGGAGGGGGTCTCCAGAGCTTCGCCTTAAGCTCACAACCTCGTAAGATCAAATCTACAGTGACAAAATCAAAGCCAAACTCCCCCAAAATCTTTGCAAAGGAGCACCTAGAAGAGAGGAGTCTGGGTATTGGTTTTTGATTTGGGCCTGGAACTAAATCAAATCGTCAGAAAACCGTATGGGAGAATGATTTTCGGCGACAATTTCAGAGGATTCGGGCGAGTTGAAGTTCACATGTAGTTTATAATTAGGTTGGGTCGCGTTGGAGATACTTTTAATTAAAAACCCAACCCAACACAAAAAAGACAACTATTCTACACAACAAAAATATTTTATAACTAATTAAAATTTTAAACAAATAAATCGAGGCGAAAATATCATCATGCATAATTGTAGTTTGGATTTTAACGAAATGAAATTTACTTCAACATATATCTAGTTTTTTCAATAAATATTTGTCGAAATAAGGTAAAGTGGTTATAAGCTACACATTTATAATATATTGTTCTTCTAAATTTGTACAAAAAAAGATCACGTGAATCGTAGCTTATATTAAATCTACATCTAAATATAAAGTTGAAGAATATATTCGGCTAGGGAAACCACAAAAGAAAAATATGACACGATAGTTTAATTTTCACACAAATATGTTTTAGATACGAACACTTACGACAATAGTTCAACATGAGTTGGATCGAGTTCTACGGGTTGTCTTAACCAAAATCCACACCTAACCCAATAGAAGTAGGTTACTAGTTTGTACAAAAGAAAACCCTCACCCAACTTTAAACTTTAATTTTGAAAATAAATACAGGTGGGTTGGGTCGGGTTGGACGGGTGGGTCAGTTTGCAGGTTGTTTTGTTCACCTTTAATTTATATAGATTAACCCAGCACTTACGAGTTATTTTGCATACCGTTTGGTATAAATGGTTTCCATAAGTTTTGAGAAATTCATTTTGAAATGAAATTTTTTGTGTTTGGTATATAAAAGAATTCATTTTCAATTCTAAAATTTGAGATTCTTTGGAACTCGAGCTAGTTATAACCATTACAAGAAATTGAGATGGAATTTCCAAAAATTACACAAGTATTTTACTAATAATGATAAAATGACATAATTATCCTTGATTGTTAGTCAAATTACTAACCGATAAATTATTTTGGCGCCCGTAAACAATTTTGCCCTTGTAGCCCACCTCTTCAACGGGGTATATCAAACCCTATATATACAACTTTGCGGTACTCCTACACCCTACTTCCATCCAAAGCGACTCCCAATTTTGTCGAGCTCCAAGCTGTGCAACGCAACTCCCTTCTTCTTCAAATCTATATAAGTTACCGCCTAGAATAGGTTAGCTTTATTTATGTGTTTTTCTTTTGCGCTTTTCTTATGGGCATTGTTCCTTTTATATGTACCTATTCAAACCTCTTTTATATGTCAACTAGGTGGCGATGTCGCGCCTTGTCGCGGGCGGAGATGGCCTATGGGTATGCATTATGTGGTCTGTTATGGTATTTTGTTAGTATTATTAGGATAAAATTAATTTTTTGTTAGTAGTTTTGTTAGTAATATTGATTTGACAATATGATATTGTTGAGAAGAGATATACGGCGGTCAACATCCTTTTTTTTTTTTTGAAAATTTTGGCTAATAAATGATATTTACTAAACCCAAATAGACCCATTGATTATGGGTAGGGTATGAGTGACGTATATATGAGGTTGGAAAAAGTTTGTATATGAGTTTGGGTAGAGTATGGATATTTACTTTCATAATCTAAATGTGTATGAGTTGGGTATGAATACCCATTTATTCAAGGGTGTTTTAATTATACATACAAAAATTAGACCTATTTGTAGAACTTCAAAAGTTTAGGTACCTAAATGTAATAAACAAAAAATTGAGGTACTAAAATATAATGTTCCATCGATATTTTGAGGACTTATATGACAAAAAAAATTAGGTTATAAATGTAGAAATCTATTAAGTTTAGGTACCGAACTGTAATTGCATAGTTGAGGCTTAATACTTTTATAGTGATGCATTTAAGATGATAATTATTTAATTTTTTTATAAAAAATATGGAACTATTTATTTGATATGTGTAGATACCTAGCCAAACATCATGTATAATTGTTGAAAATTCTAGCCCGAGTGAAAAAGAAAAACTCTAGAGAGAAGCAAAAGGAATACACATCGAAACTCACTTAAAATTTCACGCCTTCAAATCCCATAGTGGAAAATGATGACTTTCTAATAAGTAATAAACATATATATTTATTTTTAATTGGACTGACATTGGGCTGAAAAAGTGGATGGTTCATGGTTCAATTATTAATTCTCTAGACTGTTGGTTAGTCGTGTATGGACCCGTTTATACTTGTGATTAGAATAAATAAAAATAGTATACTAATTAGGGTTAGACGAAGAAGGCAAATAAATAAATAAAGAGAGGGTTATGGAAGGCTAGTGAAAAATGAAATGAAGAAGAAGTAGATGATGGAAAGGTTTTGACCAATTCATTTAGTTGGCCGTCAATACAACAGTCAATCCTTTTCACCGTAGCAATTTATTGACACTTGCTTATGTAGATGTCGCATATTTTGTTACATGTAGTTAGTATAAGTTTGTTTAGTACCCCATAAATGTACTATATGAGTTTATAAATTCGCTCTTGTAATATTTTAGAGTCGTCTCTCTTTTATTATTTATTTAATATATCACGTAATAAACAAATATAAAATAGTCGAATCTTCTACTACAGTTGAATGATACAACATCTTGTATGATACAAACTAAATTTATACTTTTATGTTATGGTGGATTGGTTCAAAAGGATTGGTAGGTTGATTCATGAATTCAAGTGAAATCTAAACAATGGACCAATATGTAAATTTTAAAAATTGGAAGTACAAATTTCTCATAAAATTTAGATACCAAAACATAATTTATCAATGATATTTACATTAAAATTAAATTTGGAGCATCAAAATATAAAATGTACATTGTAGCGATTAAGTTCTAATTTAATTAAATTTGAGGTATCAAAGTGTAACTATTTATTGGAAGGACAATGAGTATCTAGTTGAAAGGTTATTTGCTTGTGACGAGGAGATCAAACTCGTTTGGCTCAAGAGAAAAATGGGTTACAATGAAGGTCTTTAGAAGATGGAGCTTCAATTATTTACTGCTTTTTTTTAACCTTCTGTTTTGTCGTTTTAGTTGGATAATAATGTTGTCACTTGTATTTTTTAAAAGATGGATTTTCAATGTTTCATATATGCAGATGAATGTGATTGTCCCAATTTCGGTTTGGTTGTATGGGTCGGACTACATTTATGAAGTAACCAGGGAGATGCATAACTTCTTCAAACAATAGTTTGACTAACTATTCATATAAACTTTTTAATTTAATTCCAAATGTATGTCAAACATGATTTGAGAATTTAATTCATTTCATTTCTAAATATTTGAAGATTGACATACCAAACACAAGAATTTATTTGATAATGAATTTTACACATTTTCAAATAAATTGAATTTGATACCAACTGTTTGTTAAAGCTATATCTTGAACATATGCAAGATATTCATATTAGTATGTTACTGCCCACAACAGCCTTAAACTGCAACTAATCGTCTTTCTTCATTCGAACAAAACAGGGAACTGAACGTGCAAAACTCTGCCCATGCAACCAGATCACCATGAGGTAACAAGATCCTGTCCTGTGTCATTGCATCACTTTTCCAAGCAATAGCTCTCCTTCCATGAATCAACAGACCACATTTGACTAGCAGAGTACAAAAATTGGAGGAACTAATAAGTGCAACAGAAGAAGCTTTCTCTTGGGCTCAAAACCCTCGATCATCCTCCAGACACCTTTCTATTCACACATGTACAGCATCTGGACCAACTTGCCTGTTCACGGACTCATGAGGCAGCATCATGTGTGCGCTTTAAGCGACGAGGAAGCTACTATCGACTATCGAGAGCGTTGCATCACTCACCGCACCAGTCACCACGTAGTGCACTGCTACCAACAACTGGTGGTGCTCCTCCTGCATCAATTCTCCTTTACACTTGCTGTGGGGAATAACTAACTTGCCATAACCATTTGTGAGAGTTCCTGGTGATGAAACCAAAAGAAACTAGATTCACAAAGGGACAGATACAAATTCTTGCCTGGCCAGACAGCAAAATCAAGGCACGGGATGTAGAACTAAACATGTGATCATGGAAATATGCAAGTATCTTATCACCAAACCAACAAACCAATCGATAAAATTCAGACTCCTAATGGACACAGCCCAATTGGGTACAGATAAATGCAACTAAAGCTCCAGCAATAAAACAACAAAACAAGCAAAACCGAATCACTGTCCTAGTCTATAAATCAAAATGCATGAGTTGAAAGCTTACCTTCACTTCCTCCCACCTCCTGCAGATCCACTACCTCCCTGGAACAGCCGATTAATCCGAGACTCGACATCTTCCAAGCTGTACTTGATGTACTTGTCCACATTTCTCCCCGCTTCAGGGGAATTCTGGAATCTCCCAATAAAATTCCCATAAGCTGGCAATAGAAGGTTAGTTAACGAGGTCCTTATATCCTTTCTCAGTTGTTCGTCAAAGACCACCCACTGAGATTGAGTTTTATAAACCTCCTCAAACTGGGAGTTGAATAGCTTAATCTTCTCCTTCGCAGACATAGGCTTTCCTCCAGCATTTGCAGTTGCCGCTGGGCTACTATTATCGGCCTTCAAAACTCCCAGAATCTTATTCCAGGAGCTTCTCTGGTAGTTCAAATGATACTGTTTGACTTTAGCAGTGTGTTTCCTAATCCAATCGTCACCTAAGAGGGCACTCAATTGGCTGTTCTTCGGGTCGATGTCCTTCACCTTCTTCACAATGTACTTCTCATTGTTCATCATAAACACAGCGCACAATGCAGGGTCGCCATAGATCTTGGCCTTCTGCTCTAGATTGCTCTCTAGAAGCTCCATAATCCACGCCATCTGAACTGACAATGGAGATGCTGAGGAATCCTTGGCTCCCAGCCCACCATTAACACTGTCCTCAAACACCTGCTCCAGTGTCTCTCTGGATCGACAGGCAGCAAGCAGATAGTTCATCACATACCTCGTGATGGGATGAAGCCCGCCACCAGGGACTGGATCCTTAGCAGGGTCTCGACGGATTAGATTCTCTAACTCCATAAACATCCCCCTGATAGCTTCCCTCAGCCTATTCCAAATGGCGACTGCCTCGTTTCTAAGAACCAAGCAGTACTGATCAGAGAAATTGCATTCAAACTCGGGGATCAAATCCCTCAGCGTCTCGAACAAATCCAGAATCTTGAACAGCCGCTCGGGCGACCTGCTACCGATCGCCACCGCGTCGGCGAAGTTCAAGATCTGGATCGTCGATCCACGACATACCTCCATAAAGGACAAATCAGCGGCGGAGGATAAGCCGAAGAAGACGCGGTCGCAGAGGCGGCGCTCGCTGGGGAAGAGGATCCGAAGCAGGACATTCGCCGCTTTGATCCACTTCTCGATCTCGTCCTCCAGATCTTGCCACGGCATCTTCTGGACCTCCTCGCTGCTCAGCTTCTGCTGTAACCCTAACCTAGAAACGCTCTCTTCGAGGAAGTCCCTACGGCAGCTACTGTAAACGTGGGAGCACTCCTTCCCGAACCCGGCCGCCACCATCCGCTTAGCAATCTCGTGGAGATCGTTGATCGTTCCGGAGGGAAGCGCATCGATCACAACGTCGTAGTCCGTGAGCGGCTGCGCGACTGGTATATAGTCGTGGTACTCACCGTTAGCCGAAGGAACAACCACTTCTTCCTCTTCCTCGTCTTCATCCTCATCCTCCTCCTCGTCGGAGTCAAACCAATGATTACCAGCGGGGGATTCGCCGTCGCGGCGGCGACGTCGGTTGAGCTCGAAGGACTCCCCGCCGCGCTCCATCAGCATCCGGAACTCGTCCTCGAGGCGGAAGACGGCCTGCTGAATCAAGTCCTCGGCGCGTGCGAGGGAGGCGCCGACGGCCTTGTCAGCGGCGGCCATCGGGGTCCAATCACGAATCGTGGCGGTGAGCTCGTCGATTGTGTCGAGGAAGGCGGCGGAGTCGGCGGAGTCGGACCAGATGGGCTGGTCAGCGACGACGTACTGAGAGATCTGGCGGTCGAGGGATTTGATAGCGTGGTCGAGAGCCCTGGAATCGGTGCCTGGAACAGCGGCGGCGATGTGGTCGGAGAGATTCTCGCGGGAAAAGCGGCCATCGAAATTGGAGAAGATCTGGAGGATATCATCCGCAGTGGACTCGTTGTGGCCAAGGGTCTTGGCAATGTGGCGAGCCATGGCGATGAGCTTCTCTTCGCCGTTCTCAGCCATTTTTGCTTTTTTTTTTGGCGCTTTAGTGGGGCTGGGGAGTAGCTGAAGCTGATTTTAGTGATTGTAGTATGCTAACAATAATAGAAACCATGAAAAGAGGAGAGGAGGAGCGAGAGACAGGTGAAGGGAAGGGAAAAGAAAAGAAGAAAAAGATAAAGGTAGGGGAGTGATGGAGATGAGACGGGGGAGAAGGTGGGAAGATGGACAAGGAAGGAAGGAAGCAACGTGGAAACGCGCTTTTTGAGGGGAGGCTTTCAGAATGTGGATAGGAGACGCGGGAGAAACTGGACCAAAACAAAAATATAATTAAAATAAATAAAAAAGGGGAAACCAACAAAAGGTAAAACAAATGTAGTAGAGAATTTAGGGGATCGTTTGGTTGTTGGATGGTAAAATCAAAGGTTTGGGCAAGGTTGTCAACTTGCGGGTAGTACTAGGGGTGAAAAACGGGTTAATCCGGTCAAAACCGGGTCGGATTAACCCGGTTTTTTGAAACCGTTTTGGCTATATCGACAACTAGAAATTGGATTGGATGAAGATCCGGTTTCAACCGTGACCGGATTAATCCGGTCCGGTTTTAACCAAAAAATTCGGGGTGTGCAGGTTTACACCAATACGCGTCGTTTACAAATTAAAAAAAAAAACAAAAGTGTGGGATGCTTGGCTTCCTCTCCTCCTTCCTAACCGCACAATGTTTATCCTCTCAATCGTCCATCTCCTTTCAGTTTCCTCTCTTCTCCCTCCTCCCTAGCCCTCTTCTTTTACAAAATGGCGATGGCGAGCAACTCTTTCTCCCGTGAAGCCGATCAAGCAAAGCTAAAACATAGGATTCACAATCACCACCATCTCCTCTTGGTTTCTCCTCAATGAATTGGCCGTCGGCGAATCGAACTGGAGGGAGGCTAATGGCTGGCCACTCGACTTCTTTTCCTCTCCGCCAAGCCCCCGCTGGAATTGGAAAATCGAAGAGAGATCGAGGGAGAGAGGACGCATGCAAGCTTTGGAGGTCTCACTAGTGGCCGATGTTGTTAGTCTCCTTCACTCCTCTACAAAGAACTCTCACGCCAGGTAGATTGAGAGATCGAGAGGCAGACGAGAAGTGAGAGTTTCGAGGTCAGAGACGGAAAGATTGAAAGACAGCTACTGGGAAGAGAATATTGAAGGATTGTCGGGCCTCGTCAGCTTCGTCTCGTCGGCTTCGGGCCTCATCGTCGGTCGTTGGCTTCGACTGTCTCCGTCGTTCATCCTCTTCTGGCAGAGGTGCGGCTGCGTGAGCCAGAGCCGAGAAAGGGATTAGGGTTAGAACTTAGAAGGGCTTCACTTAGGACTGGGTTGGGCTTCGTGTTTTGTTGGGCTGGGGGTTTTATTTTTTGTTTAGGGCAGGGCTTTATTCTGCAGATCAATGGGCTGGTTTTGGGATTATTAAATGGAAATGTTATGGATCCGGTTTCCGGTTTTAACCAGATCGGACCGGGACAATGACTAGTACAACCGCAAATTGGATTGGATTGTTTGGAATCCGGTTTCCGGTTACAACCGGAGCGGTTTAAACTGCCCGGTTTTTGGTTTGACAGTAAAACCGAGACCGGATTCCCCGCCCTAGGTAGTACACATTTAGTGGGTCGATCCGCTATAAGGTATCGGATTGGAGGTTAAACGTGATCGTTTTTTCTTTGGTTTGTGAAATGTGCATATTTCTCGGATTTTTTTCCGCCTAACCCAATATTTGAAATTCTAAGTTGAATATTTGAACATTGATGTTATATGATTGTGTATGAAAATTCACTATGCATTGGATCCAAGTAAGACATGTTATTTTAGTGTAATGTTATATGAAATTTTATATAATTTATAAATGTATGAACAATATAATGACTTTTAAAATATATATTCGGGCTAAACGGTCGGCCCATTAACCCTCAATCCACTTGCTCGATTGGGCCACCGGGCTAAACCGGGTTGACAATCTTGGTTTTGGGTAACAAAAACTTAGATTTATGATAGATTTATTATATTGTGGATTTAAACGGTAGTGTTTGCATGATAGATTTGATATATTTATAATGGATTTATTACCTAAATAACTAACTAACATGGATTTACAAATTTCAAATCAATATGCAGGATTTATAAGCTCGTGGGGTTCACAGATTTGGTTCCAAAATAAATACAAAAAATGTGGATAAGATTTGGCACCCATCAACCAACAATGGACTTATGTTGGTATCGTTTGCTTGTGGGATTTGGTGATGGATTTGGTACCCAAATCACAAGCATCATGGATTTATGACAACTCCATTGTTTGCTAAGGGACACAAATTCGTGGGGGCCACGAATTTGGACCCTTTTTTATATCTAAATCCGTGGACCCCACGGATTTGCAAATCTCACATTTCATTTGGGATTTGATCATGGAAGGCAAAAAGTTGTGAGACAAATCAATGATAAATCCATGATAAAAATTAACCAAACAAACACTGAACTCTTCCAAATCCATAATGCAACAAATCCATCATAAATCCAAAGGTTTTTAAAACTCAAAACCCTCATTTTCAAATCCAACAAGCAAACAAGTAAATCAATTAAACTTGGGATTTGGTACCCGAATCCATGACTCAAATCCAAAAAGCAAACGATAACTAGAGATTAGGCCTCACGTTTAACCTTTGGTTATACATTCTTGCCTAACTAAATTTGGCATTACAGTGGGTCCAAAAGAGTCCAGATCTAAGTGTTGAGAATTAAAAGTTTTTTTTTTATATTTTTCTTAGTTTTCTTAGTCTATTCTTATCTTCTTCGTTCTAACTTGGATATTGATTTTTTTTCACATATGGGACGAGTTTATTGTGATTAACAAAATGAGATACATTCTCAATATATTTTGAGAAAAAACATTTCATACCACGCGTTACCACTTCCTTACCACCCTCAAGACCTCTTCTTCTTTTGTCTCATTTCCCCAAACCATGTAGGAAAACATCGACCACCATAGCATTCACCAAGAGGGATGGATGTTGGTGTGGCCTTGGTCTTGCAAAGACACACTGCAAATGGGTCATTGCCAAGCAGCTCCCTCAAATTTTAGTGGAGATATAAAATATAACTCATGGCCGGTGCAAGCCTCTTCCACCTCAACTTCGTCCTCGGCCTGGACGCCAATTACTTCCTCAACCCCCTTCCTTCTTCCGAATGTGGTCTCTTCCCTTGGAAAAGATCAAGAACTTCGTCTGCTTCTCTTCCGTCATCCTCCTCAACTTCTTTCCTCACCCTTTCTCGCTCTTCTTCTTCCAACGCGGATTGTAGAGCAAGTCGCAAAGCAATTTCTTCGATGAGATCATCTTGCATCTCCTCACTCATGCCTGCCTCTTCAAAGCTCTGTGTGGGATATGGAAAGGTATGGTCAGCTACAATAGGACATTCCTAATCATGATTATCATGGGAGCCCTCTGTGACAAATCCTGTCAGCTCCACAATGTTCATGTAGCCTCCTCCATCCTCCTCCTCTTCTTCTATGGTAGCATAAAGGTGAACTTGAGCAAGTTGTGCACAAACTTGCTCAACCCACTTTGTTTGCTTTGCTGAGTGTTGAATAGTCTCCCCCATTTCACGGAGAAAGAAAGGGTCACGAGGACCAATGGATTTGATTAGAAGGTCCATCTTGGGCAATGATCTCTCATTGTCTCGAACAATTTGCTCCATGAGAAGCCTCAATTGTTTGTTCGGATATGTCGTGGAGTGTAGCATGGCTCTACAGAATGGCCTGTGAAGGCCGCCATGGCTAACTTTAGTTACGATGGCCCTTATGGTTGTGGGAGGAATTCTTCTTGAGAAGAAGATTGTTTTTGAGGTTCCCAAGGGTCTGGTTGTTCTTCGTAGTATGGGGTTGGTACTGAAACACGAATCCATAGCCTTCTCCTCCTTTGTTGATCCAGGTAGTCTCGGGGTATGAAAAGCTAAATTAACCAACAAAAACAAAAACACCCAAGTGAAAAGCTAGTGTGGAAAAGAAAATAAAGAAAAGCTTAATTAACAAACTTCTGCCTTTCCAAATAATCTAGAAATTCCCCGGCAACGGCACCAAAAACTTGACTCGCTAAAACAAAACTCATCACAATGGCCAAGTGTAACCAATGAAAGGGACTGCAGTATAGTGGCAAAAAGTAATAAATATAAAATCCATGGGTCTCTAAAGTTACTATTACTCAACTTCAGTTCATTATCTAGTAAACCAGATTAAGATAGAAGAAGTATAACTATTCTAGCAAACTACAGTTAAAGTTAATCTAATCACAGGTTGGGAACTCACTCAGGTATGATTCCTCCTAGCTCCTCAATTAAGTCCAATTTGTCATTTTCTTTGGTCGTTCTACTGTAGATTAGACTGGGGAAGATCCGAAAATAGCTTGTAATCTCTTAAGCTGACCAAGCCATCTTAGATAGATTATCCGGCAGGCGACTAGCCTTCACCGGGATAGAATGCTAAGGCGATTCACATAAATCTCCACTACGTGTAACAAATTCTAGTACAAAGCAGTGAATTAACTAACTCTCGTACAATCAATTCACTACTATTAATCAAGGAAGCTCTCTTAACCTAATCAGATTCTATCTATCAAATTCTAAAACAGAAATCGAGAGAATTTGATCATGATTCAATTGACTCAATAAATCATGCCTCAATCAATTATAATCAAACAGTAAAGCATCCAAAGGTTCATACAAGAAAGATCCTTATACATGAAACTAGGGTTCCTCAAAACCTAAATGAAGGGAAGTTACTCAATAGAGAAGAGAGAGAATGCAGAAATCTGATCTAGATCTTCAATCTCCAAGCTTGATTCTCGAGCTCCAATGGCGAAGAAATCCTCCAAAATAGCTCCAAGAATGTTCCCAAGTCGCGCTCTCTCTAGGGTTCATCCCTTGGGTGTTTCGGATCCAAAACCCAACTCTCTCTCTCAAAAATTGCAGAAAACAGACTTATACCCGAGGAGGGGAAGAAAACACGTTCGTGTGACTCAGGTCGTGTTTCAGCCCTTCCCTTATTTCTTCTTGTCACTAAAAACACGGGCACAGGAGGACAAAACACGACCGTGTTCTTGCCTGTGTTTCTTCATCAGTTCTTGTTCCACTGTCTTTGATACTTAGTTTCTCCTTCGTCCAGACTCTGATTATGTTGTCGTTTGATCGCACACGCTCGTAGTCTCCTCCTTTTTCTTTTAATGACAAGCTTACATGATACTTTGTCCATAAAA